AGGGTTTAGGGGTTTAGGGGCCTAAACTCCCGGAAGATCCGAAATGTCGGAGTCAAAGCTCGACATGTTGGAATCAACCCTACAGGACGACAAACATGGGACCACGGTACTAAGCACCCTGATGCACTTAATGTAGGGGCCTTAATAATCAGAATAGTGCTTCGGGCTATATTATACTACAACTATAATAAGGATTCCCCAAAACAGTATAGGCGACTATTTAGGCCCCTATGTTATTGCGAGCCCCTGCCTCCAACAACATCCTATAACACCGCTTTGAAAATCCACAGAACCCTACGAAACCCCATGAGGCTCCCACCAAACCCAATGACAACCCTACAAAACTCCACGAAGCCCCTCATAAAACCCCAGTGAAAGACTATACCAACGTACGCAACCCAATAAAACACACACAGACACAGACACAGACACAGACACAGACACAGACACAGACATCGACATCGACATGGACAGACAGACAGAGAGACAGACACACAGCCACACGAACACACACAGCCACAGAGACAGAGACAAACCTCAACTGTCTGGTGCATAGTAGGGAATGGAGGAATGGATCCCTATGATAGTCCCTTAAGGTCCCTTATAGTAGTCCTTATAACCCATTCCCCCATTCCCTACTAAGCACCAGACAGTCAAAGGAAACCCTAAACCCTAAACCCTAAACCCTGAACCCAGGATGGCTCTGATCCGACCGCATCCGAGCTCCTGGCCCCAGGGTGTGCTTGGCCTGCGACCTGCCACGGGCAATTCGGCTGAGATGGGCCGTTTGGGTTAGGTTTAGGGTTTAGGGTTTAGGGTTTAGGGTTTAGGGTTTAGGGTTTAGGGTTTAGGGTTGAGGGTTTAGGGTTTAGGGTTGAGGGTGTAGGGCTTGGGGGTTATATCTTACGTAGGTTTATAAGGGTGATCTAACTGACGTCCTTAAGGGTGTCGTCAGGTTTTCAATTAATTGTAAAAGAGGTCTTGATCGGTCGCAATATGTGAGCAAGGGTTGTTTAAGGGCTATACGCAGGGGTTTATGAGAATTTCAGAAGGTTTACGGGCTTCCCTAGTGTTCGATTTCATAGGGGTCTTCTAGGGTTGTTGTAGTAATTACAAAATACTCCTTCACACGGTTCTTATTACAAGTTTCCATGTTGTTTGCTTCCGAGGACGAAAAGCCAAGAGCACCCTAGCCCCCGGAGCCCTCAATGACCGAATGACATAAAGGAGGGGGCTCCAAACCCTCCTTAATAATTAGAATAGGTTTGGAGTTTATTATACTATAGTTATAAGAAGGAACCCCCAAAATAGTATTGGCAGTCATTTCGGCCCCTACATTCTGAACATGAACCCCTATGTGATCATATATGCGGAGCCTCACACTGTTGATCTATCCCGCCTGTGAGCTTTCTGAATGCCCTCGCACTGCCCGAACCATGGCCACTCCAAGGCAGCTTCCTGAGACAAGCCCGGCACAACGGCCAACGCACAACGGTTGGAGAATGCCGGCCAGCATTTTTTTTTAAAGGACCTTTTCCTCTGCTTCGATCTCTCTTCATCCAGAAGAGCCGACTATGCAGGCCTGTTGGCCTCTACCTTGCTTACTTCCACATAGTTTCTCCACTCACTGCTCAGCCTTGTTGCCTTGAAGCCGTGCCAGTAGGCCACCATACAGCACCATCAGAGCCTTCCATCGCATCATGATGCCTTTTCCAATCACTTCGATCTTTGATTTTTGTTGTCGGTTCTTTTCGGGTTTAGGGTCCCGCTTGTCTGAGCTGCCAGTGTGCTGGACTCGATCGGAGATCAATGCTGCCTCGAACCGCCCATGTTTCCGCACACGCAGTACTTAGAACGCACAGGAACTTCGAAAATAGTTAGGTTTTAGTGCAGGTTGCAAGAACCTGTTTGGGGCTGCAAACCCAAACCCTAAACCCTAAGCTCCAGTATTCGTAAGCCTGCTAAAAATTAAAGGAAACTACAGGTGGGGAGTTTAGGGTATATAGGGCTTCTATAAGGCTTCCATAAGGTATATAGACCTTCTATATGGCTCCTATAACGGTAGCTACC